AAATAATATGATTTCAATGAAATGAAGAGAACTGTCACTTAATACTGTTTAATTGAAATATTGAGATATCTTCTTTGTAAAACATAAGTATTCAAACGTTTTTTTTTAACTAAAAGAATAATTTTTCAAACGATGTTTTAGTTCAATGTGATTCTCTCTCTCTCTGCTTAATACTTTAAAAAAAAATGAGTGAATTTCTCTCATTTCAATATAATCGATGATATTTTTGTTTCATTTCAGTACCACTACTACGAGCACTTGTTATTGACATTCCGTTGAATGCAAAATGGACACAAAATGCTCTGACTGTAGCTGGAGGAAATGGAAAAGGCAATAGAACCAATCAACTCAATGAACCATGGACTTTATATGTTGATGATGATCAAACAATTTATGTTGTTGATTCGGAGAATCATCGTATTGTGGAATGGAAATATGGTGCAACGAGTGGGAAAGTAGTTGCCGGTGGAAATGGATACGGAGATGCAGCTAATCAGTTAAAAAGCCCAATGGAGGTGATTGTCGACAAAGAGAGAGATTATCTCATCATCTGCGATCAAGGAAATAATAGAGTAGTTCGATGGCCTCGTCGAAATGGCGCGACTAGCGGAGAAACAATCATCTCAAACATCTATTGTACAGGTTTGACAATGGACGAGAATGGATTTCTCTATGTTAGTGACTATGAAAACGATGAAGTGAGACGATATAGAATTGATAATGGTGATACTAAAGGAATAGTAGTTGCAGGTGGAAATGGAAGAGGAAATCGTCTCGATCAATTTAATGGTCCCGCATGCTTATTTGTCGATCGAGATCATTCAGTGTATGTGTCTGATACGGGACATGAGCGTGTGATGAAATGGGAAGAAAGTGCAAAAGAAGGCATTATTGTAGCTGGTGGTCACGGATGGGGAGATAGTCTTAAACAATTGTATGGTCCTACAGGAGTTATTGTCGATAAAATGGGCACTGTTTATGTAGCTGATTCTATTAATAATCGAATAATGCGTTGGCCAAAAGGAAGCAAACAAGGAAGTGTGATTGCTGGTGGAAATGGTAAAGGAGGACAGTCGAATCAATTAAATACTCCCATGGGATTATCATTCGATCGTTATGACAATCTCTATGTCGTCGATCTCGAAAATCATCGAGTACAAAAATTTAATATTGAATAAACGACAAATTAATGAATGATATTTATTTGTTTGTGTGATTGAAAAATGATTTGCATTGAATAAAAAGAAAAAAAAAGAATATTCGTTGCGATTAATTAATGAATATGTTATTAGATATTTGCGCGCGCGACCAGAAAAACCGTCCCTGATGGTGGGAGTGGCAGCCGTTCGGTCATGCACGAACAGGAGCAAGACCACACTGTGAGGCTCTCGTTTATGGGAATGTCTTAGACTCTTGCCCCACTCAACGGTTTAGGCCAGAAGACAATTAAATATTAAATCCCCGGTCTGCAACGGGAACGAGAAATCTCACGTAAAAATAAATACACATTCTTACCGGACCTTGTAATGATAAATAAAGATAATAGATTAATTAACCGGTTAATGTTTTATTAATAACAATGGAAAATAATAATGATAATATATAGAAAAGAAAAGAGGAAGATAACAGAAGAAAGAAATAATAACAAATATGATAATAATAACAATAATGATAATAACAAGTATGTCACCGGGAAAGGAGAAAAACAAGAGAAAGTTTCAACTCGTCACGCGACGAGTTGAACAAACAGCAAAAATCAGGGCTTTCGTAACACAAAAAATAGGGATACCCAAAAACACAGGGATGTCATAACGAAATTTACAGGGCGATCGTAACGGTAAATACAGGGAGTTCGTAACAGTTGCAGAGCTTTCGCAACAACCCAACAGGGATTTCGTAATCAAATATATGTTAGTCATGCTTCATTTACGCACAGAAATTACATGGGTTTCGTAACGAATTTTACAGGGCTGTCGCAACAGCTAAAATAGGATTTTTCACGATATATTTCAAAGGGCGTAAGAGTGTCAAATCAGGAGTTTCGTAACGGATTTGATAGAGAAGACATAACCATCCATTTAGGGTTGTCGTTCCAGCAAAGTATGGCGTGTTTGAGTTAGATTATAGAGTACTCGTAACGAAAGATCAGGGCTGTCGTAACCACTCGTCTTGTCCCTATATATTATCACTCATATTTCTTCAGTAAAGTATAGTACGACAGCCCTATATAAGCGGTTACGGTAACCCTGTAAAATTCATTATGCAATGCCTGTATTTGAGGACGTGATGTTCTAAAATGACACATATCAAACCACCGGTTACGATCACCCTGTAAAATTCGTTACGAAACTCCTGATTTTTTGTTACGAAAGCCCTGATTCTGTTGTTACGAAACCTCTGTTACGGGCTTTCCTACTATCAATTCGTTACGAAAGCCAGAAAACAAAAATCGTGACGAGTTGAAATTTTCCCAAAAACAACAAGTGACTAATCGAGAAGAGGAAAGGAAAAAACATATATAGATAAACAGTGGACCATCCAATGAAGATACATATATGAACTATAGAGAGGGAGGAGGAAAATCACTATATCACAACTATACAGTTAGCGGTAATCGAGTGACCTCTATTGATGCTAACACACGTAAACATACAGAAGCGAATACAGTGTGGACTTCGGTGTGGGTGTGTGGATGTGGGTGGGTGTGGGTGTGTGGGTGTGGGTGTAGATGAAGAGATATCACACACCCACCAACTCCCTAGCCACACCCACACCCCACCCACACCCCACCCACACCCCACCCACACCCACACACCCACACCCACACCC